GTGGAATCAGAAAAGACCCCGAATAGCCAGGGGAATTTTAAAAAAGAAAACCATATCTGGGGGCATCACAATGCCAGATTTCAGGTTGTACTACAAAGCTGTGGTCATCAAGACAGTGTGGTACTGGTACAAAAACAGACACATAGGTCAATGGAACAGAATAGAGAACCCAGAAGTGGACCCTGAACTTTATGCTCAACTAATATTCGATAAAGGAGGAAAGACGATCCACTGGAAGAAAGACAGTCTCTTCAGTAGATGGTGCTGGGAAAATTGGACATCCACATGCAGAGGAATGAAACTAGACCACTCTCTTGTACCATACACAAAGATAAACTCAAAATGGATGAAAGATCTAAATGTGAGACAAGATTCCATCAAAATCCTAGGTGAGAACACAGGCAAACACCCTTTTTGAACTTGGCCACAGTAACTTCTTGCAAGATACATCCACAGAGGCAAGAGAAACAAAAGCAAAAATGAACTATTGGGACTTCATCAAGATAAGAAGCTTTTGCACAGCAAAGGATACAGTCAACAAAACTAAAAGACAACCTACAGAATGGGAGAAGATATTTGCAAATGACGTATCAGATAAAGGGCTAGTTTCCAAGATCTATAAAGAACTTATTAAACTCAACAGCAAAGAAACAAACAATCCAATCATGAAATGGGCAAAAGACATGAACAGAAATCTCACAGAGGAAATCATAGACATGGCCAACATGCACATGAGAAAATGCTCTGCATCACTTGCCATCAGGGAAATACAAATCAAAACCACAATGAGATACCACCTCACACCAGTGATAATGGGGAACATTAACAAAGCAGGAAACCACAAATGTTGGAGAGGATGTGGAGAAAGGGGAACCCTCCTGCACTGTTGGTGGGAATGTGAACTGGTGCAGCCACTCTGGAAAACTGTGTGGAGATTCCTCAAAGAGTTAAAAATAGAGCTGCCCTCACGACCCAGCAGTTGCACTGCTGGGGATTTACCCCAAAGATACAGATGCAATGAAACACCGGGACACCTGCACCCTAATGTTTCTAGCAGCAATGTCCACAATAGCCAAACTGTGTAAGGAGCCTCGGTGTCCATCGAAAGATGATGGATAAAGAAGATGTGGTTTATGTATACAATGGAATATTCCTCAGCCATTAGAAACGACAAATACCCACCATTTGCTTCGACATGGAGGGAACTGGAGGGTATTATGCTGAGTGAAATCAGTCGGAGAAGGACAAACATTATATGGTCTCATTCATTTGGGGAATATAGAAAATAGTGAAAGGGAATAAAGGGGAAAGGAGGAAAAATGAGTGGGAAATATCAGAAAGGGAGACAGAACATGAAAGACTCCTAACTCTGGGAAACGAACTAGGGGTGGTGGAAGGGGAGATGGGTGGGGGGTGGGGGTGACTGGGTGACAGGCCCTGAGGTGGGCACTTGACGGGATGAGCTCTGGGTGTTATTCTATATGTTAGCAAATTGAACACCAATGAAAAATAAATTTATAAATAATAAATAAATAAAAATTAAAATATTTAATTTTCCAGAACTTTCAATGTCTTAAAAAAATAAATTCGAACTCAAGAAGTGGAAAAAAATAGTGAAAGGGAATAAAGGGGAAAGGAGAAAAAATGAGTGGGAAATATCAGAAAGGTAGACAAAACATGAGAGACTCCTAACCCTGGGAAACGATCAAGGGGTGGAAGAAAGGGAGGAAGGCAGGGGGTGGGGGCGAATGGGTGACAGGCACTGAGGGGCACTTGATGGGATGAGCACTGGGTGTTATGCTATATGTTGGCAAATTGAACTCCAATAAAAAGAAATAAAAAAAAAAAGAAGCTTGATCAGGCAGTAACAACCCAAGAGAAGCAATATTGCAATTATTATTATTTGTTAGAGGACGGGCACCTGGGTGCCCCAGTTGTGAAGGGTCTGCTCAGGTGGTGATCTCAGGGTTCTGGAATCAAGTCCAGCTTTGGGCTCCCTGCACAGCGGGGAATCTGCTTTTCCCTCTCTTCTGACACTCCTCCTGGCTTGTGTGCTCTCTCTGTCTCATAATTAAATTTTAAATTTTTAAAAAATATTTGTTAAAGGAAAGAAATCCCAGCATTATTTGTTGAAGGAAAGGAAGGAAAGCATCGAACTGGAATTCAAGAAAAGGAGGTTGTATTTTATCAGTCACCTGGAGCAAGTTCACTTGCAAGTCACCCTCTGTAAATCACTTCACCCATAAGATGAGGGAATTAGATTATGATCACTAAGGATTTTATTTTAATATCTTTTTTGTTTTTGTTTTGCCTTAGTGAAAAAAGGCAGTAAGAAATTATCACATTTCTTGGGAAACACTTTCAAATTAGTCAAAGAATCAGGAAACTGAGCTACTGTCACCCCTGGGGGGGGGGGTCTTTGAAAAAATTGAAACTAAAATAAGAGTTGGGGCCATCATAAGCATTTTCTGAACAACTGCTGTTAAAGTGACAGCCCCTATGACTGCAATTTAGAATTGTCCCCCTGCGGGACTTATTTCCTTTTCTCAGCCATAACCTCCTCTGCTCTACTTTCTCCCATTCTGCAACTCAGCAACATGCAAGCTGAGCTTCAGGGAAACTGCAACAGCCAGAAAGCCCGGGGCTGACCGCGGAATCAGTGGCTAAGTGCGGACTCTCATTTATTAATTCAACAAGCGTTCGGAGAGCGCCCACTGCCGCCGCACACTGGGTGGGGAACCAGAGAAAAATATCCGTCTCTGCTTCCCGGAGCTAAGTCCAGGGCGGCGCGTGCCTGCCCGGCCCGCTGCAGACCCCAGAGCCCGAGCTCAGGTGGCCCGCCGGACCAAGCACGCCGATGTCACCTGCGACCGCGGGCCGCCCCTCGACCGCTCACACCCGACGGCACCGGCAGCGTCCGCGTAGTCCTAGACCCCGGGCTGGGCCGCCGGTCCTGCTTCTGTGGGGAGGGAGGGCGGGTGTTGTCCCTTCCCCCCGGCGAGCCGGCGTATAGTGCGGCAGGGGAGGTCCCGGCGGTCCAAGAGTCGCTCCGGGGGCAGGGCCTGCGCCCGGCAGCCCGCCCCGCAGTCCCCGCCCCGCGGCAGCCGTCGCCATGGAGATACGCAGGGCATCCTGGGAACGTTGCCTTTCCAGCGCGTGAACTCGGCCCCCACAGCGCCGCCTGAGGGCAGGAGGAGCAGATTGCTCTGGCGGCATCTGGCGGGTGTGTGCACCCTTTAACAGCATCCGGACCTCCCTCTCCTGCTCTCTCGACTGGGAAAACCGGAATTGCACCAGACTCCACAGCTCTGACGCTTTCTCTTTTGAGGGCTACCCAAGGTTAGATCTAGAGTTGATGAGCATATAAGTCAGGGAACTGAATCTTGTGGAACATTCCCTTTCCTACTGCAATTTTTGCTGCCCCGATTGCATCTCTTCAAAATGAAATTGTGAGTCATCGCACAGCCATTCACTACTGCATCCACCCCTCCCCCACTCACCTGCTCACCAAGCTGGTCTCTATTGCTTCGGCGTTTTGGGAAAGGTTTGGGCTGTCTTGGGCAACAGAAAGGCCTCCTTGAGGAACATCTTACCTAACTTGTCACAGACTTTGGAAGTTAGGCATATTCTAGTTTCTCCTAGAAGCTTTCTACTGTGACATTCACCAATTCAGCCACATAAATTTTCATTTCTATGTTTTGCTTATGCCTCTAAGATAAAGACTTTTGTAAAAACAAAACACTTCCTCTTGTCCTTAAAATACTAACATTTCAAACTGTCTCCCTTCTCTCATAAATTCTGGGCATTTGCTGTGCAAATTTCTGTTCAAATTTCCACACCAGTCAGAAAGGTCCAGATTGCCTTGAGATACTCATAAAGACTTACCAAGTGTGCTCAATGTCAGACATCCTACTAGGTGCTTCTGGCAGTAATGTAGTCCCAACAGGTAAATTTTGCAAGGATTCAGGTGACCCCTATTTTCATATTTTTCCTCTAATTTCCCCTATTCTAGCTTAGCTAAATGAAAAAGCCATCAGATGTGAACTGTCCATTCTACAACCAGGTCAACATTTGTAGCAGCAGCCCTCTCCTCCTATCCTCTAGTTACTTGGGAAAAGGCCAACTCCTCCACTTGTTTGGCTTCCTCTCTCTGCTACATCTTCACTGTCCTCCTTTTTGAGAGTCCTTCCCTATTAGCAGGCAGATTTGCTCTAGTATCAGTAACAGTGACTTTACTGGCTACTGTCAGCTTCTCTGCTCCACTTTATTTTTTTTAATTTATTTATTCATAGACACAGAGAGAGTAGCAGAGACACAGGCAGAGGGAGAAGCAGGTTCCACGCAGGGAGCCCGATGTGGGACTAGATCCCAGGCATCCATGATCACACCCCAGGCTGCAGGCGGCGCCAAACTGCCGCTCCACTGGGGCTGCCCTCTGCTCCACTTTAAACTTCTGGAAAGAGTTCTCTGTATAGCCTGTGTCCAATTCCCTATTCACACTGTGCACCAGCCAACCAAGATCTGCCTTTCTGCTCAAACACAAAGGAAAAGTGTTCTCTAAGTCAATATCTATCTCGATCCTGCCAAATCTTCTGGCCTTTTCTTAGCACCTGACTTCTCAGCAGCACTCATCTCTGTTGTTCTGCTTCTTGCAGTATTCTCTTCGCTTGGCTGTTGGGGCACCACTCCCTCCTACCATCCCTCCTGTCTCATACTTCCTTTTTGTTCCTTTTCCCTACTTCTCCAAATATGTTGACCCTGAAATTGCTAGGGTTACTGAGGACGTGGTTCTCCGTTCTCTACCCTCAGTGATCTCACAGCCAGGGAAGTTAAATATTTAATGCTGATGACCAAGTTTCTCTCTCCAGTCCAGACGATTGCTCTGAGCTCTAGACTCACAAATCTGTTAAGCAACTCCACTTGCATCTTTGCCTTTGCCTTTGAATAAAGAAAACTGTAGGAAGGTTTTGAACAGGAAAATGACATGATATGACTTTTCTTTTTAAAAATATTTTATTTATTTATTTGAGAGAGAGAATGAGCAGAAGCAGGCTCCCCACTGAGCAGGGAGTGTGATGTGGGGCCCAACCCTGGAACTCCAGGATCATGACCTGAAGGCAGATGCTTAACAGACTGAGCCACCCAGGCACCCCTGACTTTTTTTTAAAAAGGATCAATCTAACTGCTCTTCAGAGAACGGACCGTGGCAGGTAAGGGGAGGAACTGGAAGATCAGTGAGGGTAGTGATATAATCAGGCAAGATATACATCTATGTATATATCTTGAGAGAGAGTATGTGCTGGAGTGGGGGGTGGGGCAGAAGGAGAGAGAATCCTAAGCAGGCTCCATTGCCCGGTATAGAGGCTGATCCAGGGCTCGATCTCACAACCGTGAGATATGACCTGAGTGAGATCAAGAGAATGATGCTTAACCAAATGAACCACCCAGACACCCCTTAATTAGAGATTTTAAATTTTAGCTTTTATTTCCTGAATTATCCATGATCTGTCTGGGATATTTTTGTTACTATTATTCATCTTGATTTCTCTCTTTCCCATATAAGTTTTTTTTTTTTCCAAGTGTTTGATAATCCTTGCAGGTTCATACTTAAGAATGCAGCAGTGGAGAATTTAATCAAGGTCTTTGTGCATACAGGTGGGGCTTGTGTGACAGTTTCCTCTGGGGTGATTGGTTGTTTGGGAGTCCTCTAAGTGCCAGAAGGAGGAGGGCTTTTCTCCCAGACAACATCTACAATAATTATTTCTAGATGGTTTGTTCAATTTTCCTTGTTTTCTCGTGCAAGGTAAATACCAGCTGCTAGGCCTTCCTGGTGCTGGAAGTGGACAGTAGTGGAAGGAAAGAAGGAAAGACCTCAAAGAGTTAACAATGGATCTGCCCTATGACCCAGTAATTGCCCTGCTGGGGATTTACCCCAAAGATACAGATGCAATGAAACGCCGAGACACCTGCACCCCGATGTTTCTAGCAGCAATGTCTACAATAGCCATACTGTGGAAGAAGCCTCGGTGTCCATCGAAAGATGAATGGATAAAGAAGATGTGGTTTATGTATACAATGGAATATTACTCAGCCATTAGAAACGACAAACACCCACCATTTGCTTCAACGTGGATGGAACTGGAGGGTATTATGCTGAGTGAAGTAAGTCAATCGGAGAAGGACAAACATTGTATGTTCTCATTCATTTGAGGAATATAAATAATAGTGAAAGGGAATATAAGGGAAGGGAGAAGAAATGTGTGGGAAATATCAGAAAGGGGGACAGAACATAAAGACTCCTAACTCGGGATCCCTGGGTGGTGCAGCGGTTTGGCGCCTGCCTTTGGCCCAGAGCGCGATCCTGGAGACCCGGGATCAAATCCCACGTCAGGCTCCCAGTGCATGGAGCCTGCTTCTCCCTCTGCCTGTGTCTCTGCCTCTCTCTCTCTCTGTGACTATCATAAATAAATAAAATAAAATAAAATAATTAAAATTTAAAAAAAGAATGCAAAAAAAAAAAAGACTCCTAACTCTGGGAAACGAACTAGGGGTGGTGGAAGGGGAGGAGGGCGGGGGGTAGGGATGACTGGGTGACGGGCACTGAGGGGGGCACTTGACGGGATGAGCACTGGGTGTTATTCTGTATATTGGCAAATTGAACACCAATAAAAAATAAATTTACTATTTAAAAAAAAAGAAAGGAAAAGAAAATCTTGCTGTATGGTTTCCCAAATTCCTAAGTCAGGTCACCTTCTTGCTAAAAAAAAAAAAAAAAAAAGGACCTCTGTTCCTAAACTCTGTCCCCTAGTTGGTCTGGCCATGGCTGCTGTGGCTTCCCAGGCGGCAACATCAACTCTGCTGAAGGCTCTGGATGCCCTACCCGGCCTCAACTCCAGTCAGCCTCTATCATTGCAAACAGCTGGCTAAGCCTTTTCTTAATGTCAGGCTCACTGGGAGCACTGTAGGATTTTGTGTGCACTCTGACATGTTCCGCGAGTTTGGACTTATAAATGAAGCCCTTCCCACAGTCGCCACAGGCAAACGGCCTCTCAGGCCTATGGATGCGCTGGTGCCGCAGCATGTGTCCCTTCTCCCGGAAGTTCTTACCACACTCGGGGCAGCGGAAAGGCCTCTCCCCGGTGTGCAGGCCTTGGTGGCTGAGCAGCTGGGCCTTTAGGCGGAAGCTCTTGTCACATTTGGGACACTGGAAAGGCTTCTCCCCCGTGTGCGTCCTGACGTGTTCGATGAGCTTGGACTGCTTGGCAAAGCCTTTGCCGCACTTGCAGGAGAAGGGCATCTCCCCGCCGTGCAGCAGCTGGTGCGCCTTCATGTCCGCCTTGACTCGGTAGCTCTTGCCGCACTCAGGGCACTGGAAGGGTCTCTCCCCGGTGTGCAGGCGCTGGTGGCTCAGCAGCTGCCCCTTCAGGCGGAAGCTCCGGTCGCAGGCAGGGCACTGAAACGGCCTCTCCCCACTGTGCACGCGGAAGTGCTCGGTGAGCTTGGACTGGCGGGTGAAGCCCTTGCCGCACTCCCCGCACGAGAAGGGCCGCTCCTTGCTGTGCGTGCGCCGGTGCGCCTGCAGGATGCCCTTCAGGCGGAAGCTCTTGTCACACTCGGGGCACTGGAAGGGCCTCTCCCCGCTGTGCACCCGCAGGTGCTCGCGGAGCTTGCACTGGTGCGTGAAGCCACGGCCGCACTCCGCGCAGGAGAATGGCCTCTGCCCGCCGTGGCACAGCCGGTGTGCCCTCAACATGCTCTTCAGCCGGAAGCTCAGTTCGCACTCGGGGCACTGGAAGGGCTTCTCGTCTGTGTGCAGGCGCTCGTGCCTTAGCAGCTGGCCCCTCTGGCGGAAGCTCCTGCCGCACGCCGCACACCAGAACGGCTTCTCCCCGCTGTGCATGCGGGCGTGCTCCGCGAGCTTACACTGCTTGGCAAAGCCCTTGCCACACTTCCTGCAGGAGAAAGGACTCTCGCCACCGTGCGCACGCTGGTGGGCCCTCAGCAGGCCGCGCAGGCGGAAACTCTTGTCACACTCGGGGCACTGGAAGGGCTTCTCTGCCGTGTGTATCCTGCTGTGGATGGCCAGCCTGGACCGTGCGGTGAAGCGCTTACCACACTCCACGCAAACGAACGGCCTCTCGGGGCGGCGCTGCAGGGCCTCCGCGGGCCTCTCGGCGTGGTGGCGCTCGTCCCCGGCCCACCCGGGGTCTGGCTTCCCTCCCGACGGCACGCGGGCCAGCTCAGCCTCCCCGGACAGGGGAGGCTCATCCCCCTCGCCTTCACCGCAGACTAACCTCTCCCCGCTGGGCTGGCTGGGCGGGGCCTGCACGCTGCTCTTTGGGAGAAAGCTCTTGTCATATCCGGGGCCCTGGGAAGGCCTCTCCTTGTGCCACAGGCGGTGGCTGAGAAGTGTCTGCTTGTGCGGGAGGCACATTTTACATTCAGGGCACTGCAGGGGACTCTTCCCTGCGTGGACAGCCAGATGTCTAAGCAAATACTGCTTCAGGCGGAAGCTCCTCCCACAATCATGACATGGGAAGCGCCTCTGACACTGAGGGAGGCTCCGCTGTTGCTGTGGATCAGCTTGTTTGCGGAACTTCTTCCAGGACCTACGTGGCTGGTCTTTCAGGTGGCTCCCCTCATGCTTCTCTAAGTGGTCCTTCTTCCAAAAGCTTTCTCCACAGACAGCGCAAGGGTGCTGGGTGCCCTCCCAGGAGGGAACTTCCTGGAAGCCAGGGAGACCCAGAGTTCTAGGACTTGAGATTCCTTCTCTTTGGGTAGGCTCCCTGGAACTGTGGACTACTGGAAATGGAGCCTGCCTGTCATGTCTGTGTGGGTTCATGAGGGCCAGGCTTTGGTCAGGCCTGAAGGAAATACCTCCTACTCCTCCTGAAGGTTTAGAGAAGCACTGGCCTTCTAGTGGATCTACTTGGAAAAGGCATTTAGCTTCTACGGAATTCACAGCTTGTTGGCTTCCTGAAATAGGAAACAAAAATTCAGTCAGTATTCCTGTCTGTGGCATGACTAAAGGCTTATGTCACCAGGAAAGGGAGAGGTGATGGTGACCTCTGGGGACCTGGGAACCCAGCTCCCACTGAGCTCCACAACCAGGGACATTTCAATGTGGTTCTATTTCATGGCTGAGAGTTTAGTGAGAGCACTAAAACTAAACTGAAAAAAATATGTATCTTTAAAGAAGAAACTATAGGGGTACCTGGCTGGCTAGGCTGAAAGAGCATGTGACTCTTATCTCACAGTCATGAGTTCAAGCCCCACACTTGGTGTAGAGATTACTTAAATACAACTTTTACCTGCACCCCGATATTTATAGCAGCAATGTCCACAATAGCCAAACTGTGGAAGGAGCCTCGGTGTCCATTGAAAGATGAATGGATAAAGAATATGTGGTTTATGTATACAATGGAATATTCCTCAGCCATTAGAAACGACAAATACCCACCATTTGCTTCGACGTGGATGGAACTGGAGGGTATTATGCTGAGTGAAATAAGTCAATCGGAGAAGAACAAACATGATATGGTCTCATTCATTTGGGGACTATAAAAAATAGTGAAAGGGAATAAAGGGGAAAGGAGAAAAAATAAGTGGGAAATATCAGAAAGGGAGACAGAACATGAAAGACTCCTAACTCTGGGAAATGAACTAGGGGTGATGGAAGGGGAGGTGGGCGGGGGGGTGGGGATGACTGGGTGACGGGCACTGAGGTGGGCACTTGATGGCATGAGCACTGGGTGTTATTCTGTATATTGACAAATTGAACACCAATAAAAAATAAATTTATTTAAATAAATAAATAAATAAATAAATAAATAAATAAATAAATAAATAAATAAATAATAAAACTTTAAAAAAGGAAAGAAGAAGGACAGCCTAGGTGGCTCAGCAGTTTAGCACCACCTTCGGCCCAGGGCATGAACTTGGGGACCTGGGATTGAGTCTCACATCGGGCTCCCTGCACGGAGCCTGCTTCTCCCTCTGCCTGTGTCTCTACCTCTCTGTCTCTCTGTTTCTCATGAATAAATAAATAAAATCTTAAAAAAAAAAAAAGAAAAGAAAATACAGGGCCTAAACATAGGGCCAAAGCTTTGGAATCAGACTGTCTGGGTTCAAATCCCATCTCTCTACTGTGTAGCCTTTGTCAAGCTAAGTTCTCTTGGCTTTGGTTCCTTCTTCTGTAGACACAGGGACAGACACAGGGAAGCAACAGGACAAATGGTGGTCATGATTATAAAGTGACTTCCCGCATGTATGGTGCTGCGCATGTGCCTGGCATACCACAAGCACCTGTAAGTGCTCATCACCACCATGACTACAGGACCATCAGACTTGTGCCATTTTTTTAAAATTTTTATTTATTTATGATAGTCAGAGAGAGAGAGAGAGAGAGAGAGAGAGAGAGAGAGAGGCAGAGACACAGGCAGAGGGAGAAGCAGGCTGCATGCACCGGGAGCCTGACGTGGGATTCGATCCCGGGTGTCCAGGATCGCGCCCTGGGCCAAAGGCAGGCGCTAAACCGCTGCGCCACCCAAAGATCCCAGACTTGTGCCATTTTGATGTGCAGACATTCCTGGAGTCAAGAAGTCATGGCAGCACTGTCACTAATAGGCCCTAACACCACAGTTTCATGTGACCAAAGGGCTGTCCCTAAGGCCAGGCAGCAGGGCCTAGGTTCAGGTCTCCGCTCCTCATCCCTATGCCCAAAAACCTTTTAAAAAAGGTTTTCTGGAAGAACTGATAACGGGGTAAAAATTGAAATAACTTGTGGAGCAAAACTCCATTATTATCCAGAAAGAAGCAGCAAAAAACTAAACAAACTGTTGACATTTCTTGGAATGATGCTCCCATTGGCTTTGTCATTCCATACTTTAATGCTGACTTTTAAGAATCCAAAAATCTCAGGGGCACCTGGGTGGCTCTGTCGGTTGAGCAACCAACTCTTGGTTTTGGCTCAGGTCATGATCTTGGGGTTGTAAGATTGAGCCCCGAGTCGGGCTCTACACTCAGCAGGGAGTCTGCTTGAGATTCTCTCCCTCTGCCTTTGCCCTGTGTCCCACACCGCTTGTTCTCTCACTCTCTCTCAAATAAATGAAATAAATATATTTTTAAAGATTTTAATTATTTATTCATGAGAGACACACACAGAGAGGGAGAGACACAGACAGAGGGAGAAGCAGACCCCATGCAGGGAGCCCAATGCAGGACTTGATTCTGGGACCCCAGGATCATTCCCCAGGCCGAAGGGAGGCGCCCAACCACCGAGCCACTCAGGTGTCCCTAACATAAATATTTTTTAAAAAGGGATCCCTGGGTGGCGCAGCGGTTTGGCGCCTCCCTTTGGCCTAGGGCACGGTCCTGGAGACCCGGGATCGAATCCCACGTCAGGCTCCCGGTGCATGGAGCCTGCTTCTCCCTCTGCCTGTGTCTCTGCCTCTATCTCTCTCTCTGTGACTATCATAAGTAAATAAAAATAAATAAAAAATAAATAAAAAAATAAAAAGAATCCAAAAATCCCTTTTAACAAGAAAAAACAGAGGAGACCTAATTTTAGGTATTCAAGTAGAGTCAACAGTCTCCAGATAGGAAGGAAGCAATTTTGCTTCCTCGAATTTGGATAACCAGTCTCTGATTCCTGCCACTGTCTCCCTCGCCCTCCCTACTACTAGCAATAGCTTACATTTACTGAGCTCTTACTGTGTTTCATGTATCACTTTAACACTTTACATATGTTAACGTATATAGTCCTATAATATAGGTACTTTTATTTATTATCTTCATCTTATAGGTCAGGAAATTGAAATATAGATAGGTTGAACAACTTGTCCAAGGTGACCCAGAATGACAAGATCCAGACACAGACTCTAGAACCCGTACTCCTAACTACTATACTTTGTGTTTCTCTAGAATACACAGATGTCAAGCTTCAGCCCAGCCAAGCAGGAAGATGAGATCAGAGAACTGAACAAAGATACACATTGTGATGTCTTAAGGATAGGGCCCTACATTCTTCATACTCACCCCAAAGCAGATGTCCCCCGATAACTGGATCAAATTGCAAATCAGCAGAAGGGCAAATTATGTTTCCTGATTTCTGTAATTCTCCCCAGTTCTTGAAGAACTCTCTCCCCTGTTCAATCCAGGATATTAGTTCTGGTTTGGGAAGTCTGCCATCTGCACAAAGAAGTCAGACAGGGTACTTTGGTTTCTTTCAGCACTAAGTTTAAAACACACGGAGTTGCTTTTATGTTTCAAAATGTACTCCTGGGAGGTGGGCGGGGGATGGGGGTGACTGGGTGACGGGCACTGAGGTGGGCACTTGACAGGATGAGCACTGGGTGTTATTCTGTAAGTTGGCAAATTGAACACCAATAAAAAATAAATTTATTAAAAAATATACTCCTGGGAAAATGTATGAGACAAGATGTCAAAAAATAGATTACAGGTTTATGCAAGGAGGAGTAAAACTGCCCACACATCCTAACTGTACTTCCTAATCTATCTGGACCTGTTAAATCAGTTGTACTATTTAAATCCTGTCTTGGTCCCCATATGCCTAGCAGTATGTATTGTCATGGGTTTCATAAAACTCACTATTAGCATGCTTTGAGAATGGTGGAATAGTACTGCAGGTACCATGGGAAGAAAGAGGGTTTGTCATTATATGGTCTCATTCATTTGGGGAATATAAAAATTAGTGAAAGGGAATAAAGGGAAAGGAGAGAAAACGAGTGAAAATACCAGCGAGGGTGACAAAACATGAGACACCTAACTCTGGGAAATGAACAAGGGGTAGTGGAAGGGGAAGTGGGCAGGGGGCATTGGGGTGACTGGGTGATGGGCAATGAGAGGGGCACTTGGCAGGATGAGCACTGGGTGTTATGAAATATGTTGGCAAATTGAACTCCAATAATTTTTTTTTTAAAAAAGGGTTTGTGAAAAAAAGGGGGGGGGGTTGTGAAAATAAGAACTGGAATGCCTTGGGATGCCTGGGTAGCTTAGTGGTTTAGCACTGGCTTCAGCCCAGGATGTGATCCTGGGGACCCAGGATCAAGTCCCATAGGGCTCCCTGCATAGAGCCTGCTTCTCCCACTGCCTGTGTCTCTGCCTCTCTCTTTCTCTGTGTCTCTCATGAATAAATAAATAAAATTTTTTAAAAAACTGGAATGCCTGTCCTAGATAATTTCACAGTAGGTAGCTTTCCAGCTGAAATATTGTCAGAAGTCCACTGATTATAGTGTTAATCACAACCCCAAACATGGTGGAGTTCTGTTAGAATAAAGTGTTGTAATGAAGTGTTGCAAGCAATGAAATAAGCAAATGAAAATAGTTACAAGATTCTCTAATATGTGACCCCATTTCCCTATAAGAAATGTTTATTTTACATATTTTCAAGTAAAACTTTTTAAAAATAATGTCTATTTAACAGAACCTAAAGTATGCTTCATAGATTGTTAAAGGGAGATCAGTGTATGGTTTATATCAGAGAAAGAGGGTCAGCCAGGTAATGCCTCAGGGTTAAAATGTCAAAGTGATGTAGTACATGTGGAGACTGATCACTGTTCTAGATTCCTCCTTGCCCTCTGAAATCTGCCTTCAATCTCCAAGAATTCATGAGGAAAGGAATCACTATCTTTTATTTAAATCCATATACCGATTCTCAGTCTTCATCTGTTGAAATCCCAGCATCTTTTAAAATAATAAAAATAAAAAATATATAAATAAAACCAAGAAAATAATTCAATTTACATTAACACCAGAAATAACACACTAAAGAATAAACTAAATTAAAAAAAGTAACACTTATACAGTAAAAATTAAAATATTGTTGAAAGAGATTTTAAAGGTGATTAATAAATAGATATCTCAACATTTATGAATAGGAAGGCTTAACATTATTAAGATAACAATATTCCCCAAATCCAACCTACTTTTTTTTTTTTTTTTGCAGAAATTGACAAACTGATAATGGTAATCAAAACAGTGTGGTATTGGCATGAAGATACACACACAGATCAATGAAACAGAATTGAGAATCCAGAAATAAAACTTCTCCATTTATGGTCAATTGATTTTCCCAAAGGACGCCAAGAGAATTCAACAGGGAAACGAACAGTTTTTTCAACAAATGCTGTTGGGACAACTGGATATCCATATGCAAAAGAAGCTGGATCCCTACCTCACACCATATATAAAAATTAACTAACAATGGATCAAAGACCTAAATGTAAGCACTGAAACTGTAAGTCTCTTAGAAGAAAACATAAAAGTAAATCTTTGTAACTGGATCAGGCAATGGTTTCTTAAGTATGATATCAAAAGCTCAAGCAACACAAGAGAAAAGAAACTGGACTTCATAAAAATTAAAAACTTCTGTGCTTCAAAGGATACCCATCAAGAAAGTGAAGAGACAACCCACAGAATGGGAGAAAGTACCTGTGAGTCATATATCTGATAATGTTCTGGTATCCAGAACAAACAGAGAACTCTTAAAAATAACAAAAAGACAAATATACCAATTTAAAAATGGGCAAAGTATTTGAATAGACATTTCTCCTAAGAAAATATGCAAATGAAAAGATGCTCACGATCATTAATTATTAAGGAAATTTAAATTAAACCCACAATGATATACCAATTTGAATCCATTTGATCCTGATGTTTGGGACATAATTTTGGGGTGGAACAGGATTAACAATATAGGATTATATTTCTTTCTCTACAGATTCAATTACTTTAATTGGTTCTTTGGCAACAATAAAAATACATAATGTCTTGGATTGTGTTTTAGAAACAACACTGTATACATAAAGACTGGAAAACTTACTTATGGCAATGGAATAGATATAAAGTATTAGAAACCTTGCAATATAAAGGAAGTCATGTGGCCGCGAGGAGGTAGCCAGAGAGGTGGCAGGAAGCACAGAAGAACTAACTGCATTCTCTTCATACACTGAAGGAAACAAGAGATATAAAGTTGATGGAACTTGATCTAGAAATTTGAATTATAAATGTATCCAAGAGAGGCATGAAAAAAAAACAAAACTTAGGAAAAATGGAAAAAAGGAGATAGCAGAAAGTTTAAGTGAGTTAATGCCTCATTTTTCATAGCAATAAGTAATGCTGCTAAACTTGATAAATCAAGTAATAGGGATGTAAGCATGATAGACTGGAGACAAGCACAGTAAGAACTAAAACAAAAAAGGTTAACAATGGTGGCCTTGGGCAATTAACAAGTGCAGGAGTGAGGAGGAAGCAAAGACTATCATTCATTTGATATATAAAACGTATATATATATATATTTGTATATATGTATATATAGCATATATGTATATACATAGATGTATATATGTGTATATTGTATATGCATGTGTATATATACACATGTAATATATATGTATATTTTTTTTACTTGTTTATATATTTAGTTTTTATTGGTGTTCAATTTGCCAACATATAGAATAACACCAAGTGCTCATCCGTCAAGTGCGCCCCTCAGGGCCCGTCACCCAGTCACCCCAACCCCCCCACCCACCTCCCTTTCTACGACTCCTAGTTCGTTGCCCAGAGTTAGGAATCTCTCATTTTCTGTCTCCATTTCTGATATTTCCCACTCATTTTTCCTCCTTTCCCCTATATTCCCTGTCACTATTTTCTATATTGCCCAAATGAATGAGACCATATAATGTTTGTCCTTCTCTGATTGACTTATTTCACTCAGCATAATACCTTCCAGTTCCAACCACGTCGAAGCAAATGGTGGGTATTTGTCATTTCTAATGGCTGAGTAATATTCCATTGTATACATAAACCACATCTTCTTTATCCATTCATCTTCCGATGGACACCAAGGCTCCTTCCACAGTTTGGCTATTGTGGACATTGCTGCTAGAAACATTGGGGTGCAGGTGTCCCGGTGTTTCATTGCATCTGAATCTTTGGGGTAAATCCCCAACAGTGCAATTGCTGGGTCGTAGGGCAGATCTATTTTTAACTCTTTGAGGAACCTCCACACAGTTTTCCAGGTGGCTGCACCAGTTTACATTCCCACCAACAGTGCAGGAGGGTTCCCCTTTCTCCACATCCTCTCCAACATTTGTGGTTTCCTGCTTTGTTAATTTTCCCCATTATCACTGGTGTGAGGTGGTATCTCATTGTGGTTTTGATTTGTATTTCCCTGATGGCGAGTAATGCGGAGCATTTCCTCATGTGCTTGTTGGACATGTCTATGATTTCCTCTGTGAGATTTCTGTTCATGTCTTTTGCCCATTTCATGATTGGATTGTTTGTTTCTTTGGTGTTGAGTTTCATAAGTTCTTTATAGATCTTGGAAACTAGCCCTTTATCTGATACGTCATTTGCAACTATCTTCTCCCATTCTGTAGGTTGGCTTTTAGTTTTGTTGACGGTATCTTTTGCTTTGCAAAAGCTACTTATCTTGATGAAGTCCCAATAGTTCATTTTTGCTTTTGTTTCTCTTGCCTCTATGGATGTATCTTGCAAGAAGTTACTGTGGCCAAGTTCAAAAAGGGTGTTTGCCTGTGTTCTCACCTAGGATTTTGATGGAATCTTGTCTCACATTTAGATCTTTCATCCATTTTGAGTTTATCTTTGTGGATGGTGTAAGAGAATGGTCCAATTTCATTTTTCTGTGTGTGGCTGTCCAATTTTCCCAGCACCATTTATTGAAGAGACTGTCTTTCTTCCAGTGGATAGTCTTTCCTCCTGTGTCAAATCTTAGTTGACCATAAAGTTGAGGGTCCACTTTTGGATTCTCTATTCTGTTCCATTGACCTATGTGTCTGTTTTTGTACCAGTACCACACTGTCTTGATGACCACAGCTTTGTAGTACAACCTGAAATCTGGCATTGTGATGCCCCCAGATATGGTTTTCTTTTTTAAAATCCCCCTGGCTATTCGGGGTCTTTTCTGATTCCACACAAATCTTAAAATAACTTGTTCCAACTCTCTGAAGAAAGTCCATGGTATTTTGATAGGGATTGCATTAAACGTGTAAATTGCCCTGGGTCACATTGACATTTTCACAATATTAATTCTTCCAATCCATGAGCATGAAATATTTTTCCTTCTCTTTGTATCTTCTTCAGTTTCTTTCAAAAGTGTTCTGTAGTTTTTAGGGTATAGATCCTTTACTTCTTTGGTTAGATTTAT